ACGGGGGCAGTGGGTGGGGAACTTAATTTGGCTTAATTTGGGAAGGGGGGTAGCGGGTCACAAGGTAAATAAGTTAAAGATTAACTGAAGCTCTGGAATAGTGCTTTCAGGCAGGGGTTCCTAGCGGAGCCATCGTGGAGAAGTTGTTAATAATAATAAAATACTACTTGCTCATTTTCAGTAGGTCGAAAGTCCGCCTACCCAAACAATTCTTGGGTTGTGTTAGCTAGTTGTAGTTGTTCTAATAGTGAGAAAAAGAAGACGACTCGATCGCTGGGACAATATTTTTATTCACCTGACGTTTCGAGATCCCTCGCGGATTTGTCATCAAAGACAAAGTCAGATAGCGGTAGCAGAAACGGGTTCTGTTCTAATAGTTTTCTTTGTTTTGGGTATTACCGACGAAGACCGAGGGACGCTAGGACAGCTATTTCTGGATTATTAGCCGTCATCAGCTAGTAATACCCAAATCCAGTGTTGCCGCTGAAATTGCTGCCACACTCGAGTTTCGAACCCGCGACACCTCTGATCAGAGTCCAACGCCCTAACCATTGAGCTACTTGCTCGCTGTCTTGTCGGTTCTTGATCGGGAGTATACAATAATAGCTAAGCGTAAACCGATCCGTTTCAGGCTTTCTTTCCAGTCTCTTTTGTTCTTTCCACAACCTATTCACCTACGTTTTTAGTTAAGAAAAACAATTACAAACGACTCTAATTCATTTCCTCCTACGCACTTATCCCGCATTAAGTACGCATTATTCAGACATTAAATCGTTAACTATGAATTCTGTAAGACATTTGGGCTGGAAGACCTTTGTCACTGGGCGGCCCTACGATGAAGCCCTATTGTGTTTCATTTTTTAAAACTGTCCTATTCATGTTCGAAGCCAAGGTCAGGGATAGAGAGAAAGAATGGAATTAGGAGATGTGCAGAAGCTTCCATTTTTGGACTGCAACTTGTTGGATGGAATCTCATCGATCGCTTACGGGACTCACTCGTTCCGTGCTGCCTTGGGGCGCTCACTCTTGATCCCCGTCCGGAGCCACACAACGGCTATTATTATAGACGAAATAACACCACTGCCAAGGGCAAGGCAGACTGGAATGGCGATTTATGGCTTAATAGGCATCGTCTGCCAGCCATAACCTACCTCAGGGGATGCACGACCCGAGGGCTCGAGGCTTCACGGCCTGTTGATCAGAGGTCTAACCCTACAATGCATTGGGCCATAGGCTCGTTCCCTTGTCGGTCTCGACCGGCAATATTTGCGATGGTAAATTGGTGCTCACCGATCGATTATGTTCGGTTCCTTCCATCGTGACTCCCTATGATGGATAATGGAGTTTTGTGGTGTACAACCAAAAATAATTGCTCTGATTAAGGCATACTACCGCTCCATCACTGCGCGGGTTCTAGGACCTAACTTCACTATTCGGTCTGGCGTTCGACAAGGCTGTGCCCCGTCGCCCCAACGTGTTTTCATGCTGCATCCCTACACGAGAGAAGGCACATCTCGGGATTGGTAGCTGTCAACTTGAAGAACTAGACAGTTTCAAATACGTCGACGTGAGATTGCTGCCGAATGGATAAAATAAAGAGGACATTGTCTCACGAATTGACGCAGCACGGCACCTTTTCTCCAGCCTTCGAAAGTGTCAATTGACCCGTCGCGATATTTCTATCTCCACAAAGATCCGCGTGTACCGTGCATCTGTATGGTCCGTTTTTCTATACAGATACAAATTTTGGACTATGCATTTGGAAGAAGAACGGAAGCTGGAAGTCTTTGA